TTTCACAAGATTTAAAATATAAAGTAAAAAATAGATGTTAAAAAGCTACTGCCAATAATTATCTCATTTTTGTATGTTTTCCAGGTATTATTAATACCTTGGGGAAGACCAACTGGATCATGTGTGAATTCTAATCCCTTGTGCTAAGCCTTTTCTTCCGTAACTAATTAGGTCATGCAGTCTTTTCCCACATTGCAAGCTGTGATATGCATGCATGTTCATACCCAAGCTCTTATTAATGCTCATTAAAGAGGTGTCAACACTAAAAACAGTAAACACAGCTTTGTACATATGACGTAATGCCAGATCATGCAGTTCCTGGCAGGCCAAAATATCATGCAGAAATACTTAACAACATGTCGTGGATTTACAACAGTAAGCCAAGGAATATAATTAAAGCCATTCATTTAGGCTAATGCATGCTTAACATGCTAGCAAAGCACGACAATTCAAGAAATATATTGAAAATGAATTTATTAATGTTATCATTTGTACAGCAATACAAATGCAATGCAATAATAACGAATAAAAATGGCCAAATTAACTTTTTCCTCTACACAAAACAAATGACCTTTCAAGCTAAATCCAGCCGATTATCAACCCTGAAGCTTGCTGTAGTCTCGCTAAATTCTGAACACTGCATGACTACTGTAGGTGTGCTTGCTCTTTATGCTTAAATACTCAATGATTAGTAACTTTCCATAAACACAACAGAAAACACTGTACAGAATGAATATCAGAGACCCGTGACTTTTTTTTAACATCCTCCTAGTAAATAATACAAATATTGTCAGAATGATGGTTGAAGTCTTCACGGGGGAATTAGACATCTTTATGCAGGTAGTACCAAATCAGCTGGGTTTGTATTTTCTCTTGGCCTGTGGGCCACTACTAGCAACAGCCATATCGATCAAATTATCACAAAAGGCATGGTCAAGGTGTAAGAGTAGAAGAAATCTTGAAACAAGTCATATGGTGATAATCTAAAAATTCAGGAATAATTTGAATATAGAAAAAATTGCTATAGATCCAGAAGCGATACCCAAACTTTCGTGAATTTTCAACAAATGGGCAGAGAATCTGGAATTATTCAGCATTCTGTAGTACTGCATTAGCAACTATATTTTACATTTTACAAAAATTTTGACTCTCGGTCAAAAATACAGCTGTTTTCCCTAACCAGAATCCTCTGCACCGATGCAATCTATCTAACCTATCAACGCTGATGCTTAGAAAACTTCAACACAACAGTGCTTGAATTTTTACTAAACCCCCACCATTTTTACAGTTGGGTCAGTTCTGTTAAAAATTGCAATGTACCGAATTAGGCAAGGAAGGAAGGTTGAAATTATTACACCATAAATTCAGGTCTGTTCTTTTCAAACTATTTGCTGCATGTAAAGTGGACTAACATTATAAAATTACAGTAAGTAGGATGTGGCTTCTTTTCCATTGGCAGCCTAATACTTACTGACACGAGAAGCCCTGGCCTCACATTTTGAAAACTACGTGTATGAGCAGCCGACGGGTTCTTGTTATATTTTCAGTCATCTTTCTCTGGATGTGTCATTATGTGTGAAAATTAAAGATGTCTTGCAGTGACAGTAGACAAGGTAGAGGAAGTAAGAGGGAGCATCTTACAACGGACAAGGAAATTAAATTATTGGAGACATGATCTAGGGAAAAGGAGAGTGGGAGCAATAGGCTGGAAAATGCATTTGGTATTAACACTAGCACCATTTCCAAGACTAAAAACCAGCAAGATATGATAATAAAGTATATTGCCAAGCCTTTGTTGTTTTTGCAGAAAAGGTTCAAATAAGATAATGTTCAGTCACAAAACATGAACTCAAATGAGGCAGAGTATAAGTGATTAGTGCAGCAGCAGAGTACTGCCAAAGCTTTTGGCAGTAAGCCAGTCAAGAATGCAGTAATGCATATTCATAACTGCCAAATTTACAATGTTATGCAAGTTCTGGCCAGTGCTAATAGTTAAAAAAAATGGCATTAAATTGGTAAGGAGATAATTTATGGTGAGAAATTTGGCATTAAATGATGCACAGTGTGCAGCCATTTAAAAATGAATTGCAGGATTTGGAGTGTATGCACACATTTAATGTTTTCAGATTTATGTAAATAACAATGGCTTTTTGTGGAGAGGAATGGTTTCTGTAACCTTGGCTGTAACCCTGAACAGAGGAAAATAAGCCAATCTTTAAAGCTGGTGAAATTCAGCCAATGTGTATGCCAATGCAGATGGCTCTAAGAGATTAAAAAAAAAATTAAGGCATAATGGCCTAGGTATCTAGAAAATGGCATGCACATACTTCCTCTACCATGCTAATAATAGATGATTTACTCATAAATTTTGGTTACCTGGTTTCATAGCATTTCTGGTAAGGAGACAAGAGACTTTCAAACAAATGATAGCAGTGTTAAAAAAAGCCAAGTGCAGGCAATATTGGTGTTTCAACAATGCTTCGGCATGCCATGATGTGATCAATTTGAGACTAGTTTATGGCAAGTTAAAGTGCATGACTCTTCCAACAAACACCACCTCTCAAACCTAGCCTATGGATCATGTAGTTATAGTGTAATTTAAGCAGTTAAGAAACTGTACAGAAAAAGATCCGTTGGATCACATTTTTGGTGGCTGATACTGTATTAAGAATGACAACACTAAGGGACCTAGAAACTTTGAATGTTTTGTTTATCCTTATAAAAAAAATTTCAATCCCTGCTGATCACATTTGCAAATAGCAATTTAAGCTTATAAATTAACTATGGTTAGCAATAATACCCAAGTAAAATGTAGGTGGAAGGCTGCATGACCGATTAGTGATGAGACACTTGTGTGGCACGAACAAGTGGTAGTGCTCACCCCTGTACACTGATACAAGCCAACGGTGTAACACGAGCATGATGAAACACAAGAGTTGGACCGGTAGACACTGAACAACCCCAAGATGCCTTTGTCATGGAGAGGTGCACAGCAGGAAACTTAATACAGTATTCAGTCTTAAGAGTGCACATTGAGGCTTGGACATATACGAAACAAAGATGTTGTGAGTGGTATACTGTACACTGAAGTGAATTAGAGGGCAGGAGGAAAAAAAAGAGGAAGGTTGGACCATTCTCAAGTCTATCAACTTGAAAATGGTCCAGGACGGACCGAAACGTCGTCGTCCCTTCAACTTCTAGTGTGTGGTCTGGTCAACAGAGGAAGGTTATTGTGATGAGCAGACATGCCAAATCTATGGGCAGTGGGTATATGGGCATGGTGTACTCGCCAAGTTGTGTTTGCGGGGGTTGAGCTCTGGCTCTTTGGTCCTGCCTCTCAACTGTCAATCAACTGGTGTACAGATTCCTGAGCCTACTAGGCTCTGTCATATCTACATTTGAAACTGTGTATGGAGTCAAACTCCACCACACTACTACTTAATGCATTCCATTTGTTAACTACCCTGACACTGAAAAAATTCTTTCTAACATCTCTGTGGCTCATCTGGGTACTAAGTTTCAACATGTGTCCCCTTGTTCATGTTCCACGCCACCATCCACCACGTGTTCGTGGTGTGGTGGCGTTCTGCTGTGGAGGTTTCGCTGAAGTGTAATGTTGGTGATTCTACATGATGTATGTTAATACAAAACATACTGGTGTATGAGTACATGTCTATAATCCTCCTTACCAAAATTACAGTACCTGTACTTTAATATTTTCAATCGAGCTGATGTCTCCTCACCCCGTGAAAATCAGAAAGTGTAATACTAATTAATACAAATCATTTAATTTTATCGTCGAAACATTGAAATTAAAAGAAAATTCTTTTGAACATCGAAAACTAAACTGTGTGTGTATATTTTCTTTAAAATATCAAGATAGGATTTTTTAACGTAAATACGGCGATTCAAATACAAAATGACCTTCCTTTCTTAAAGCTGTATATACAGTACAGTATATGGAAAAATTTTAATTCAGCAATAATTATAAGAATATTTTACAACACCTGCTAGATTGCGGAAGGAAAATTTTAATTAGAAAACTAAGCAAAATCTTAGCAAGAACGAAAATAATTTTTGCAGAACGAATATAATTTACTTCTTGTTCTAAAAGTAAAGCTCGTTGATCTTTGTACATCTGATAACATATAAATACTGTACTGTACTGTCTTTCACATCTGCAGAGAACTATCCAAAATACCTAATATCAGGATTTATGCGGAAAATCCACAGAGAAATGGCAAAGGAAGTGAACGTTTCGGCCTGATTAAAGCCGTTGTCAACACCAGTTGTCAACAGTCTGGTGTTGACAACGGCTTTAATCAGGCCGAAACATTCACTTCCTTTCACATTTCTCTGTGGATTTTCCGCATAAAAATGATCAGCGTTTTGTGATCGTCAATTGCATCAGGGTTTATATACAGTATATCAAAATCTTTCCAAATCATGATTTGATGCCAAATTCACATTAATGAGTATTGGGTACAGTGTTGCCACTCTTTCATATTGACATTACACTAACAAGCCCTTAATCCATAACAAATAAATAATAGAGCCATTCCACAGAATGTCACTATTCATGGATGTATTCATATTCACATGTATTCACTATTCAGAGATCTATTCATACAGTATTCATGGATGACAAGAATCAAAGAGCCTAACCAACATCCATATTTTGTTCTAATACAAAGTTCAACGATAGCCAAAAATAATTAAAATAAAGTGAACACACGACCGAATAGAAATAAACATCGGCTTGGATTAAAAACACTATGTAGTATTTGCAATTGCATTAAGATTAGATTGCACTATAGTAGTAATAATGATTATGGACCAAGATGGAGGGAAGGGGAGAAGGCACATGACAATGCAATCACAAACAGGCAAAAGAACAAATAGGATGATGCCATAAAATAAAAAAACTAGCATGAAACATAATGCAATTGTATCAGGGGGGGGGGGTATACATGTGGTATTTTAGTGGTATACATACTCACTTCAGTAATATTAAAATTATGCATTAAAACTCCAGGGTGCAAAGGCAATACATCTTCCGAGGTACAGATGGCTGCCTTGTGCGGGGATAGAAACTGTAAAATCACAAATGGGGAAGTCATGAATATACAGGAACATCACGCTGAAAGGCAATGCATCTGCGGACATAATTCTTGAAAGGAAGGGGGAAGACAAGACAAGGCAAGGAAAGGAAAGGAACGGAAAGGAAAGGATTAAAGGAGAAAGCCAGGTATGGGAGCATGGTGTGGAACTCACCTGTGGAGCAGCCTGACTGGCCCGGAGAGAGCACTGGGGTTGAGCACTAACGGGGGAAGGAAGGCTATACGGTGGTTTGGAGCCACCTGCTGCTGGGGTCAGGGTGAGGCAACTCCATCATCTGCAACATCAGGCAAACAACCAAGCCTTTACACCACTGACTTTACCTCCCACTCATCTTTTCCCCCTGGCCAGTGGGTCCTCTGATGGGTGTTGACAGTTACGATTCTGACTTTCAAACAACTTATATAAACACTTCACTGCAGTAACAGTTAAGTATCAATCCAAGAAGGCTTAAAAATTAGAGAAAAGAAAAATGGATGGGCACATTGGCCATAACATTCCAAAGGTGAACTCTTAGGCAATACCCAACTTAACAACCGTCAGAAGATTAAAGCTGCTCCAAAGATACCTCTACACCATACTCTACCGAACAAAGCTTATTGGGAGAGAAATTTACCAAACTGTAAATTTACAAAGCTCAGCCAAATATAACCCAAATTAAATTTTGACTAATACTCGTACAGTATATGTAACTGAGAAGGAACTAAAAATATTGGCAGTAGGGGGAACATATCACCCCTTGAAAGTAATTGTTAATGATAATGACCTTCGTCAAGAAAAAGCAGGGGCTTAATGTCCCTGAAAAATACTGCCGCTAATTTGTGTGTCAACGCCCCCTAGAATTCTCAACCCAAAATAAACTACGGTACATTATAAATTCATAGCAAAAATAAATTTTGACCAGAAATATAACACCACAGCTGGTCAGTAAACAACCCAGGAGATGATCACCAAGCTATTGGCGCAAGAGAACAAGGTCAGGGTTGGTGGGGGGGGGGTAAGTGAGGTCGTGTAGTGGGGAAGCAGGAGGGACGTACAGGCATGGATGAATGGGTAAGGCAGGCACTGGAGCCCAAACAATATACTCATGCACATCACCATGCACCAATTAACTATAGGCTGATAATTAATTACTATTAAACATGCTGTGGGGTGTACATAATGTACAACCCACCATGCACATCCTCTAAGACACCATGCAAAAGTACTTACATTGTCCTGAGTAATCAAGCCTGCCGTATCCTGTGGGACAAAAACCAGTTTTATGGTCATGCAAACCCACCCGTTACCTATTTCTAATTTAATTATTCCCACTAAAGCATACAAGTGAGTAAGCTGAAAAATATTCCATCACACAACAAAACTTGTGGGTGAAAAAAAAAAGATACAAAATAACCTTCACGATACCTATATCCTAATTTGTTGGTCTTCCCTTTCCCAAGTCATATACCATACCTGAATTTCCTTTAATGAATGGTATACACCTACCTGTATTCCCTTTCATAAGTCATACACCTATCTTCCCGCTTTGTAACTTGTTTACCTAATTTTGATTCCTTTTCTTTGTAACTACGATCACTCGTTAAATTCTACTCGTATTACATTAATACACACGACAAAATAACACGTCACATGCTTGATCTATTCTAGACTATAAAAACAATATACAATGGTCCCACAGTATGGCAAAATATTGCAAATATTGTATCGAGGGTTTATCTAACCTAACAGTCAAACACGACTGACAGTAAAGTTAACCCTGCTTGATGGGCTTTGGGAGTGCTTCTACTCCCCAAGCCCGGCCCGAGGCCAGGCTTGGGGCGTAGGCACCCGAGGCCAGGCTTGGGGAGTAGGCACCTGAGGCCAGGCTTGGGGAGTAGGCACCCGAGGCCAGGCTTGGGGCGTAGGCACCCGAGGCCAGGCTTGGGGCGTAGGCACCCGAGGCCAGGCTTGGGGAGTAGGCACCCGAGGCCAGGCTTGGGGCGTAGGCACCCGAGGCCAGGCACCCTCTTCTCGTGCCTTCGTGGACATGCTAAATATACCATTTATGGTTACGCCAAATATACAATTTACCAACAAGTGTTCTAAAGCTGAAATTGAAATAAAATGGGGTTGGGGTTCTTTAAAAAATAAATTATTTCTTGCAATCCAATCATAATATGAAAGTAGCAAAAATGTATCTCTGCCTCCCCAAGCTTAAATGCTACGAACAATGTTATAAGAGTTAATTGATAAACGAATTACACCAAATACTTAATTTTACATCAGCTTAAAATTGCCGGGTTAACCCTTCCAACATCCTCTAATAGCAAGTGTTTCCCAAAGCAAAATTTACAAAAAAATTAGTTTATGTGTAAGTTTGACTATGGCTCAACCAACCCCTATTTCACACCCAGCATCCTTACAAGAACTGAATTAGTAGGTAATGGTTGCAAAATACAGAATAAATTACAATATACATATTTTATATATTATATACCAAAATATAAAAAAAAAATATATATATATAATGCCTATATCAGACTGTATGCAGCTGTGCCAACTAGGTGGTGTGATCAGAGTCCCGGCAGCAGGGACGGTGATCTTTGGAACCACGGCAATGTCACCTCATGGTAAGGCATATAATACCCAGTTGCCTGGCATGCCAAATTTGCTCTAAATATAATTTGTCAAAATTGTTATTTTATGTACTGAAAGATAATTCATTCATTTTAATGTACAGTAACACCTCCAAAATCCAAATTTTATAGTTTTGGATCCGATCCAGATTTGCGTGAAAGCCAGATATCCAGAAATGTGCCCCTTTTGGGGCTATTTATCACCACAGTAAATGTTTATGCAATTTATGCACACAAATAATATATAAGGGTTTTGTGTCTATAAATAATAAAGCACAAAAAATAAGACTGTATTTGTTCACCTACCTGGTCTTGATAACAGACAGCAAAATGCACTTATAGCACTATGTAATGTCGATTGGTAAACTTTTGTAGTCACCCTGAACCGCCCCTGAATTCCTCAATGTCTAATGTTTATGTCACGTCTCATCTACAGACGTAACGGTTCATCCCCAGGTTACAGTGTTGCATTAACCATTGGTAAATACCAGCATCTAAATCCTCATGCCTAGAAGATTTGGCAATGTTTTTACGTCACTTCTCTTTTCACCAATGCTCTTTATTTTATTCACAAAATATATGACTTTTTTTTTCTCCTGCTATACTCCTCTGGTTGTGGCTTTCCTGCCCGGCCACGATCACGTTTTTCTAACAACTCTGCCTTCGTATCCGTGGTACGAAAGTCCTCTCACCCATGTTTGATGTACCGATACTATACTACTCTAGCAGCACAACATGACTAACTTACAAATAATAATATATTAGAAGAATATTCAGTAAAACGCTTGAATAACAAGTGAGGGCACATCTGTGCAGAAGGTAAATACGTGGCCAGCATCAGGCCCTGACAGTAGGGCTGGATGCCTCGGTAAAAAGGCCACAAAGAAACTTGTTTGTGCAATTTAAAGTAGAATACAAGCTTAGTAAAATACAATTTTAAATATACCCAGCAAATGTGTTATTCTGAATATGTATTTGCAAATGAGTAAAAATATACGATCTGATGGAAATAACTCCATGCGCAGAACCGACAATCCGGATTTTTGGACAGTAAGTCACAATAACCAGGCTGGAAATTACCCACCCAACTCGCACATCTATTTCACCTCTTTCTCCCAGACAGCCCCGCTCCTGTGCCAGGTAAGTCCACAACGGGCTCACCATAGCCCGTGCTACTTGGAACTTATTGTTCCAAGTAGCGAATCTTAAACAACAACCTCTTTCTCTCTGCCACTAAGCCTACTGCAGTTTCCTTTATTCCTATTATTATACTTCTTACTTTCTTGTCTTTCACCTCACATTCTCACCTTACATATTCACTTTCTCTACCACTCGTTCTTTACACAATTCGATGATGGTCCAGGATGGATCAAAATGTCGCCACTTCTATTATTTACAGGTGTGGGGGGTTGAATGTCTAATCTGGATTTCACCACATTATTCTTTAAATTTTTATTTATTAATTTTTGTTTTTAAATTTGAATTTTGGAGGAAGAAGCTGATGAGTGAATTTAGTTCATTGTTTAGAAGGATCCATTATAGTGAGGTCTGAATTCGTAAAGAGGCACTGTACATAATATAGATTTGTTCTATGTTATATTTTTAGCAAAAATTAACCTCACAACCAAATGTAACCAAAATATGCTTATTATAAAACTCTATATAGTATTGGTAAAAAAAACTAGACCTAAATAAATTAGTAATTAATGTTAACAATTTATTCTAGCAATTTAAGTTTGAAGATGCATACAAGAAAAATATTTATATATGCTGTGGCTATTAAGCTTAGTGGAATGTGCCTATGAGGCCTAGTATTGCAGTTCTAGTTGGTTTACTTCCTCTTATCCTATATTCGTGACTGTCTCATAAAAGACTTTCAGTTTAGCCAAGCACAACTTTTTCCCCTCAAAATTCATGCTTTCTGTTACAAAATTTGTCCTCTCCAGATCTTCAATGATCCTCTTCTATTATTTTTTCCAATACAGTGGATAGTGGTTGCATTTCACCAAGATGTTTTTGATTCCAGGCCTCATGTCTGTCTCCTTCCTTGAATACAAGTATCACATTTTGCAGACTTCCAGGAGCTCTTCACTGTCTAAGATTCTAAGACTGTATCCAGTCTTCCCTATGGATACAATCACGAAGTATTTTGAGCTCTTCTGTTTGACTTAAACTTGGCACCTCGAATCTTCACCAAACTAATGTGGTGCTTTACAATCTCTGAGTCCTGGGCATCCGAGTTTGACATACCTTAATATCTGGCTAGTTTAGACTTCCAGGCAGTTATCAGTCAGTCAGGGAGTTGGTGCCTACCCAACTGGTGTGATTTCGGTTCCTATCAACTAGCAAAAGTTTTGGTTGACTCCTTACCAGTTATTGATGTGGTTGGGGTTTGTCTGAGACTCCGGGACAGGCTCCCTTTCTCCCCCAGGATCAGCCTTGCTGTGGGATCATCTTCAGCTAGTATTACAATGCCCTTGTCTTATTGAGATCTTGAGCATCTTCCTGGTTGTCTGAAACTTTGCAGATGTGGCCCTCCTGTTGGCTTAGATTTGGCTGCAGACATTGAAATGAGGTGTTGCTATTTGCTTATCATATTTCCTCTAGCTCCGAGTTTCTGTCCTCCTCAATAAATAGGTTAGCCTTCTGTCTGTTCCTTTTAGTCCATTTCTTTTAACCCAAAGACAGTTTCCTATACAAGGCACTGTTGGGATACAGTGCCTATACAAGGCACCCAGAGCCAGGCCAGAAATAAAGTCTTGAGTCACGCCAGGAAATGTAATGAAATGCTTTTTCTAGGTAGCTCCAGTAATGCTAAGCACCTGCTCTTCTTAGCTCTTCATTCCTGCAGAGATCAGCAGCATCACATAACTAAGGTAAGCAGACAAGTAGAATCCTTGGGTGACCTGAGCTGTCATCTGCTGACACACTTGGATATAAGACCTGTTGACACAGGACCAACTACCTGCTTTATACCTGTTTGATGGGGTTCTGGGAGTTCTTCTACACCCCAAGCCCGGCCCGAGGCCAGGCGCGACTTGTGAGAGTTTGGTCCACCAGGCTGTTGCTTGGAGCGGCCCGCAGGCCCACATACCCACCACAGCCCGGCTGATCCGGAACTTCTCTTAGAAAACAGTCCAGTTTTCTCTTGAAGATGTCACACCAAGTACCATTTTCCTTGTTTCCATTTTTTCTCTCCTTAATCTAACTGAGTAATTTTGTTTTGCTTTGCCTGTACCTTCTAAGTAGTTACTGGGTTTTTGGCACTTTTTGGGTAGTTTACTTGATTTTTGGTCAAACTCAGATCCCCCATGGTCCCGTACCTCTATGAGCACACCGATGCTGGTCCTGGTGTCCGGTCTGGGTCTGAGAGAGAACTGAGCCTGCTGCAAGCACGGCTGGTGCTCCACTGTCTGGCATGACGTCAGAGGCCTACTCGCCTGTGATTGGTTATGTCTCAACCGCCATACTATTTGAGTATAACACGGCAGCCATAGTTCTGTGGCTGTATCTGTGATACTAGAGCACCGGGGAACTACTGAGGGACCAGGCCACAAAGAAAGACCATGCAGTACCAGCAAGAAAATTCTTTACACATCACAGTAGTGAAGCAATTTTTTTTACTGTATGCCTGTATATAAACAGGGTGTAAATGCAATTTAAACAAATTGAAACATTAATAGCCCCCATTAAACATCAACAAAAGACCTGTACAAACATGTATGATATTGATGAGGCGGGATGTTTCGGGTAAGCAAGAAGGTTTGAGAATTTAAATTATACCATAAAAGCAAAAGGCCTACAAATGTATGTTGTTGAACGGCATAATTCCTCTAACGACCTAAAGCAGTTTGAAACGATAAATCGTTGCAAGGTGCTTCTTTGAATGCCGACATTCTAACTTAACTTCCTTAAAACAAAATATTAAAATGACCATATAATCGTCAAATATTTATGCCTCTCATCTACTTTACACAGATGTGAATGAAAGTAGGAAAATGTAACTTTAATTTAAGAAGGACTCAAAATAACCTTTGTTTTCGTCGTTAATTCTTGCTTTTAACACATACAAAATCCAGTTAAAAAACACAAAGAAGTATTAATGTTAAAATCTAAAATGTTTTCAAACCTAGGAATAATAATAATAATAATAATAATACCTATTATTAATACACATACCTATTAATAAAATGGTATAAAATAACTCAATTTTGTGGCACGACACATTCTGCTGATCAATCTACCAACATTGTTCAACAGTTTAGCTATCCACCACACCTTAAATATTCTAATTACTGTACACATTTGTGGTTCTGCCAAACCTATTTTGCTGCACATAGAAATATATTACAAAAGAAAAATTGGACCGTCTTTCCCCGTACCTAGCCCCATTTCCCATTTTCAAAAGGGTGGGAAACCATCAGTCTAGACACAGGACAGCAATACACGAAATGGAAATTATGGCGATCCAGAACAACTCGAGATAAAAACAACCCATCAAAACCACAAAAGCAGTAATGAAAATCAAGTGTTTCGGTGTGGAGGGTGACTTGGGTCAAGGAGACCATGAGGCGTTTCCATCCTCGCCATATTAGCGACAAGACGTGATTGCCTTTCTATAAACTAAACATGATGAAGACTATGTACACAACTCAGATGACCAGCAATATTTACAGTGCTGATGAAGGACTTCATTCACGGTGAGTACCAGGAATGATGAATAAGTTGGCAATTGGTTCCATTAGCAATGAATAATACATGTTGGCATCCATGAGTGGAGATAAACATGCACTGATGATCAAGAATGATTATACAATAATGAGCATTGGTGAGTGAGAGAGAGTGTGTGTGAGAGTGAGTGAATGTGAGTGAGTGTGAGAGTAAATGTGAGAGTGAATCTAAAACTTACTTATACACTCAATGGACAAGAATGTGTATGTTGTGCCGCATGTTGGATAAATAATGTCAATGATTACCACACAAGTACATTACTGCAGTTGTTGAATATTGACATATAAATTTTAAGATTCACATAAAGAGGGGGGGAGGGGAACAGACATAATTATCGAATAATGATTCATTTGCTGATGTTGTGGGACTGATCGTGTTAGCATGAATAGTGACACACATACGTTTAGTGTTGTAAAGTAACACATAAGCTGGTTTAGAGAACAGTTTGTATAAGGAGAGTGTCGAGGAGCAGTGTGCATTCTAATACTGAAGTGTGCCTAATACAATTTAGTTCAAAGACGCATGGTTGGGCTTAACGATTGACAAAGAGACAATGTCACGCACGCTGAAGGAATAAGTTTCAAGCACATGAGAGCACCAAGAATTGCTTCATGCACTGAAGGCTTGTGGACTATCCTTTTTTATTTTCTACCAAGCAGAGGAGAAAGTTGCAGAGGAAACCTGTATATACCTAAAATAAGCATATACTGTATACTGTATAGAAACAAATACAGTATACACTACTGGAAAAATAAGTACACTTGTACTGAACCGATTCCCCACACACAATTTACACCAATGTAGGTGTTACAAATACTTCAATTATTCTTTCCATTTTAAGGGTGGCAGATATAATTTAGGTGATACTCACTTGGCTGTAGGCAGTAGAATTTGGGGCTTGGACACCATTGTCCATGTAGACTCGCACTTGACTCTGACTTGTGATTGTGGAGACCGGTGCAGGTGGACTTGATGAAGGTTTGAACTTATATCTTCCTATATATTTGGCTGGCCGTTTGATACTGTAACAAGCAACACCTTGAGCATATTAAGAACAGAAACAAAACACACACCAAAAAGCAGAGAAGCTTTTCTTATAGAAAATAATCAGAAAAATAAAATCAAAATAAAATCATCATACTCGAACTAAATTTCTGAAACATGTTTGTGTATTTTAAAATATTTATTTCCAAAATACTTGTGTAAAAAAAAAAAAAAGACTATGTGAGCATTTACTAAAGATAGTTGAGCACTTGACATTAGCAGCCCAAGAAAGCACTAAAGCCGGGAAAGGAAAATGGGGGCGACCCTTTTACTTCCACGTTGGTAAGTGTTTGGCTACTCTCACTACACATCACCTACTCGTCCGATGCATTCTTCTACTACCACACACTGCCCTACTACCTCTCTTTATCTTTTCCCTACACTGTACCTATATAATGACCAGACCACACACTAGAATGTGAAGGGACGACGACATTTCGGTCCGTCCTGGACCATTCTCAAGTCGATTGTGTACCTATATAGTGTAATAAAGCAGAGGGGCCTGACAGCTGAGTGGACAGCGCTCGGGATTCGTGGTCCTGAGGTTCCGGGTTCGTCCCCCCTTGGAGGCGGAAACAAATAAGCAGTTTCTTTCACTCTGATGCCCTGTTCACCTAGAAGTAAATAGGTACCTGGGAGTTAGACAGCTGCTACAGGCTGCATCCTGGGAGGGTATGTAACAAAAAGGAGGCCTATTCGAGGACCGGGCCGCGGGGACGCTAAGCCCCGAAATCATCTCACGATAACCTCAAGAAGATGTATGTGTGTGTTTCTGCCCTACATTTTTCCCCAATTCACAGTGACAAATTCTGTCTGTTGACACATTCTTTCTTCTCGGTATAAACCAGTAACAACCAGTTCACCTTTAAGAGCCAATACAACATGGCGAACCCCTTGTCAAATGCTTCAGGAAATCTTCAAGCTTTACAAGTCTCTTAAACATACAATAGCATTTGATATGTCTTCAAGCCTTACAGTGCAGCTTGAGGTCAGGTTGTCCTAGCAGCTATGTGATCCATCGCACAACTACTGCTGCTGTTTGCAGACCCACAAGCCCCCATCACTATTACAACCAAGCTAATCACATATCTTCCAAAGAAACTTAAGCTCTCTCTACTTAAGCATTTAACAAATTCATAACAATTTTCTCCATGAATTTCTATGATCAAAATATTAACTTTTTTTTTCCCCATACAAGGGGAACAACTCATCTCTCACAATCTATTTTCATTACAATATTTAAATATTTTTTATACTGCTGAACATGGCATCAGCAGCATTACTGAAGATGCTGATAACCTTAGAATTAAAATTCCTTTTAAAGTGGCTGAAATAATGAGACTAACTATAATTCTTTCCAATTTTCCCAACAAGTTCTGCATATCATCTGTTCATATAAAATTACTTGTGCACACAGTCTCTCATTTTCACTTGGCATAGTTATTAAAGGGAATTACTTAATTATTGCCTATACAGTCATGGACATGAAAGGGAAAACCTCGGATATTAAACAATAAGGAAAAAGCTGATTTAGCACACATGCCATGCATCTATTACAATGTGCCACATGCTAAACTTACCTAGGGTATTGTGGGCCACATAGAATAAAACAGCAGTTTCGGCAGCATCCTCGGGAGAAAGGGTTATAGCCGCCTCTGAACTTGCCAGTTACTTGTTCATTTGTAGTTCTCCCTCGGCTAACCAAAACCATATGGAACCCCGTGAGCCCCAGAATGGGAATTAAGAGAAGAGCAATGACTCCCATCACCACCATGCTGTAATTTGGAAATTAAAATATGTGCGTATAAACAAAATTAGGTTGTACCACACAATTCACATCAACACAGTCTCGTTCCAATGTAATCATCCCAGAATCTTTATTTAAATCACTACATACATAAGGTGTAATTAATTTTATCACGCTTATTCTACTCCTCATCAGGGTTCACCAGGTTTTAATATAACTTATTAGAGGCTTTGATATATATCCTAATAATTACAAGGTGGGGGAGGAATCACTCGAGAAGATATATAAGAGCAGTAATGGAAGAGAACGATAATAATGTTAAATGATAACACAAATCCATTCTCAATGTCTTGCACACCACATAACATCATGAAGAACTAGCAGCACCAACATACCACAGCTAATCATCAACAATCTCAACAATCTAACCATCTCATTACTTCATAAGATTAGGTGCTTTTTGTGTGTTCTCATATGCAAACATGATAAATAATTACTCCCCTTTTACTGTCACTTAGCCACCTTCTCAACCACTTTGCATACTCTTTTCACACTAAAACCCTACTTCCTCACAGACTTGTTCATCACATCCTTCCACCATTTTTTTGACAACCTCTTAGAAGACATGGTAGGATGGGCAGAATACCCCCGTTGAAAAGCAGAGGTGCAACAGGTACTCTGAGAGAGAACTCTATCAACATCAGAGGCCCGAGACTGTTCAACACGCTTCCGCTACACATAAGGGGCATAACTGACAGAACCCTCACAGTGTTCAAGAGAGAACTGGATAAGCACCTCCAAAGGATACCTGATCAACCAGGCTCTGACTCATATGTCAGGCAGCGAGCAGCCGCGTCCAACAGCCTGGTTGATCAGTCCAGCAACCAGGAGGCCTGGTCGACGGCCGGGCCGTGGGAACGCTAAGCCCTGGAAGCACCTCAAGGTAAGGTACCTTCAAAATGACTAGCATACACTCTTCTCATATGCAGACAATGAGCCACAATAACACGGCTGAAGACATGATGACTGAAACACACATACCAGAAGATGAAGAGACGACGACGTTTCGGCCTGTCCTGGACCATTATCAAGTCAGTTATCACAAGCAACTTGATATCCTCATATATGATATATCCCTATCCTCATATTACCCTCAACAATTCTGCATTAATTCCCTGAAAAAACACAACCCCCACCACTATTTTGCTTAGTTCCCTATCTAGACCTTACACACTCCACATGCTGCCTTAATGCCTTTTGATTCACCCACAAAACCAACGTAGCTAGTCCTTACACCCTCGGAAAACAAAACTGTTCTTCATGACTTCCAACCAGGGACATAATTTCATCACAGGATCACACTACACTTTCCATTGATTGCAATCCTTAATCACAACAATATTACCATAATTGTTAGTGTTAGTATAATTATTACTTTATTATATATTTATACATATTTTAACATTAAATTAACATTAAATAATATTAATATATATATACAGTACATATATTATTATTATTAGTGTTTGTATCTTTGACAAGTGCAGACTTTACTTCCCATTGCATAAATGGCCATAAAAAAAAATTTCAGGCAATAATATTTCAAAATATTTCTTAACTCCTCGTCCCTATCACTATGTTTCTCAATCTATTAACATGAGTACAGTACTCCACTTGCATGTCCATGACACTTGTCGGCTGGCAGTCATTTCACCTCCTTGAGCTTCCTCTTCCGCGGGCCGCGGGGACACTAAAGCCCCCGAAATCGTCTCAAGATAACCTTCCTGGGGACTGGTCGAGGGTCAGGCCGCAGGGATGTCGAGCCGCGAAATCATCGCAAGGTAACTGTTCCCCTTCACATTATCGGTATCATTACCCTTATTTTCATTACCACATTTTAAATATTCCATAAAATGACCATTTAAAAATTGGAAGAGCTTTTCAACCAATATTCGTGAATTATTATTTATGTGCAACAGGTCATTAATTTCAAAATGTGCATATGGGGAAACTTTTTATAAGATGGAGATAAAAAAATAAATTAAACACTGAATGTAGTCGATTTTTTTTCTGGTGGAGCCTCGGTAGTTCATTATCCACATCCTGTTCCCTTGTTCCCATCATGGGGTGGAGGAGTTGGGTTCATGTTGCTCGTTTATGAAGGGGTAAGGTTGAATGGAGCTTCGGGCAACATGCGGATCACAATTAGGGTGTTTAGTAGTACAGTAGTAGTAGGCCTCCATCAGTCTCAGTAGACTAATGGAGATGTGCTCTGGTTGTCGGTCTGGAGTGGCCTCTCCAGGGCGCAAAGCCAGGGTAGGTAGATACGGGGGAGAAGCTGTCACCCATGCAGCAGGTCCCCCCCCTCTCCATGGTGCTGAAAGTCTCCAATGGAAAGGCAAACACTAATGCGATTGGTTCCAGCGCCGTTGCAGGAACAATCAGAATCAGGTTAAAGGCAACAATGAACTGCTCTAGGGACTCCACCTCCGAGGTTTACTTCAAAGTTGGCAACAGAAGGCACAGTGACTCCAAACCCGGAGACCACCATGGTCAGGACCGGAGAAGAACCACCCTATCATAACAAAGTAGAGCTCGAGCCGCACGAGCCCTGGGAGGTGGACGACGGAGTCTACGGATTCCAGACAGAGATCGTCACAGTCCCCTTTCACCCGAGGCCGGCTTCCTTCATGGCCCAGTACAAGAAGAGTAATAAATATTAATTATAACAATTATCAATATTCTCCTTCTTACCACTCCTGGGTACCTAATTTTCTTCAACTGGTTGTTTGCTTCATTGTGCTTATGGTTTTGGGGAAGGGTTTTGTAGTGATCTTTGATCCCACAAGCTCCCCTCTCATTGAGCCAGATTCTGGTCCTGGTTCCTCATAGGCTAGGGTGGGGTTCAGAGGCCTGGTGCATAGCCAAAGGCCTAAGGCTTAGCTGGACCAGCATTTAGCTTGGAGAGCTACTGAGGGGAACACTCCAAGAAAATGTAGAAAACATGGGACATTTTGAACTACAAATCCCAAGAATGTCAAATTATAACTCAACATTAATTACCTAATTTCAATCTATTGGTACAGAGAGCAAGCTTGCGGAGTACAGCAGTAAGCATGAACTTGACAACTCTCCAAAGGCCAATTTCAACGTAATCATCAGCATTACACTACCCGGTACAGTATATGGCACACCACTGACCTTCCAATCAATGACTCTGCAGGGTTGTTAGTAAATCTGTGGGAGTGTCACTTCATCAGTCATGTAGTCATCCTAAAAACTACCTTTACTCCAGTTAGATCTACCATAGGCACACTATCCTGAATTGTTTACAAGGAGAAGCTCTCAGTGCCACACATATGCTTAACTATTTTCTCAGCAATATTATGCACTCACTGTACCTACTTTTCTTACATCTTTAAGGTTTCTAATTCGCTTCAAAATTATTTATACATTTTATGGAAATAAATGGCACATTTATTTATATTAAATGGCTTGGCACTCTAGAGAATACCCCCCTAGAAACAAAGTTAAAGGCTCTTGGTTGGATTTTCCTTCATTTTCTACCTTACTAAGGTACAGCAGCTGCACATACTTTTAAAACTTTTCTTGAATGGAATGGTCTTTATATTTCAACTTGTCATCCACAAAAGAAAGTATGGAAACAATAGTTATTATGGATGGTAATACTGAACTGTTGCAACCCAAAAAATTCCATAAAACATAATGTATAAGTTGTGGTATATTGAAGTCTCCAATTGGTGCTGGGTGCACTTGGGCAACCAGTGAAGGAAGAGTGGCCAAGGGTCCCACCGTGCCCAGGGTACAGACCCTGGGTGCTCTTGTCACGTAGCCAGGTGAGAGGGAGAGGGGCCCTAACCACTACACCATTCTTATTATTTGACGACTCATGTTCTCACTATTGAATGATGCATGTCTTCATTATTTTATCTATTTCCTCATCATTTTGTGAGGTTTTCCCAAATATTGTAATAACCGTAACCCTTTAGTCTTGTTTCTTTAATACACTAACACTTCACCAAGACTTCTCACACATTACATGGATACTTTTGTATTAATTCAAGTGTGCAATATTACTAATGACAAATTAATAATATTAATAACAACCCACTATCAAATATCGTTCCATTATAAATAGTAATATAGGCTGTAACATATACAGTGGGGCCTCCACTTACGACAGTAATCCGTTCCCAGAGACGTATCGTAAGTTGAAATATCGTAAGTCGAAACGAATTTTCCCATAAGAAATAATTGGAATTGAATTAATCCATTCCACACTCCCCAAAAAATTAACTTCAAAGTCAATTTTATACCTAATTCACCCAAATCTTTAGTACTAAAGTATGTACAAGTTATTGCTTACCTTTATTGATGACTCTTGTTGGCGTATGGAAGACAGTGAGGAGGAGAGGTGTTAGAGTTGAGAAGGGAAGTCCCCTTCCATTATAACAGCAATGATATTTCTGGGGTACTCTCTTTCCTACGTTTTGCAGGCATACCACTAGGACCTGGTTGTGGCTCACTGCTTGCTTGTCTTACTAAGAATCTGTCTATAAACACTTGTTTTTTTCCAACGTTTTAACACTTATCTGTAGTGAGACATCACATTGTCTCTCTATGAATGATCTGTTTTTCCTCTATTGTCATTCTCACAACCCACAGCATTATATATAATAAGAACTTTTATGTTAAAAAAAAAACAAAAATACCAGCAAACAATGAAATTCTTCATAAAGAACTTGTTATACTCAAATTCTATGTCAGTTGGAATATAACCAATCACAGGCAAGTAGGCCTCTGACGTCATGCCAGACAGAGGAGCATCAGCCATGCTCCCAGCAGCCTCAGTTCTCCTCACAGACTCAGAGTAGGTGGACCTCGGCTGGCCAGTTATACACCTGTTTGCCTCACTCAATAAATATATACAAAAGCGACTACTGTGTCTACATTTAACCCGAACAAGGCAAACGAATAAACTCAAGCATGGCCGCCGTCATCACTACGTGGAATACACAGTACTTTGTAAACAAACTGAGTGCGCCTCGCCCCCGCACCCCCAGCACCCGTGCTCATTCGACCCATACACGTACGATCAGACGTCGAACACCAATTAAAATTTTATGATGAATTTGACGCCGTATACCAAAAAATTCGTACTCTAGGCCAGTCGTCAACCGAGGTTCCACTGTATATTTCATACTGCATATCACTAGTATTTTATCCAAATCTTATTTTATCCAAATCCATACTATATATGATGTATACACACAAAATAATACTAAATAATAATTACTTACCTCACAATAGTATTCGGCTCTGTAAGATATTCTTTTCTATCAAGTACATGGATGAGGCAAAATGTGAAGATGGATATCATGTGGATGCTGAGGGAACAGAGGAACATGAAGAAATAGCGATAGTTCCGTCGGCCTATGCAATTGTTAACCCATGGGCAATGATGGTCAAACGTCTGGAAGTAAATAGAGACATTAGAGCATGAACCTACCTACTTGCTAGTCTATTTTCATGTATCATCCAAATTTTTTTCTGCATTTAAAAACCGTATGACTGATAAAAACTACTGATCAAGCAATTTAGTTCTTCATCGTCTCAACATCATAAGCCTAAGAGCTAAAAACACAAGTAATTCTGCTCAAGTTTCATGTTATTGATTAGACTAGAACCTAAGAGACAGGCAAGCAGATATATGGAGAGGCACTGGCAACATAAAACTTAAAATACCACTTCAAAGGGCATGAAAAGACATAATTAAGAGTGAAAAGAATAAAAAGTGGCTTCAGAATGCACAAATATCAACACATGCCCATAAATGAGAGGATGAAATTAGAAATCAGTGAATTGGAAAAGGGTGACTAAACAGAAAGCAAAATTTGAAAAAAAATTATTAAAATTGAATCTCTAAACACAACTGTGCTCTAATAACGTGTTTCAAGTAATTAAACCGCTAATTATGTAAATGTGATAATATAAATCCCTATTTGATTTTGACAGAAAAAACACTCAACTCTATTTCTCCCATGGAAAATCTTCAAATAAGAAACCAAGGATAACATATTAACAAAGGAAAATAACAATATAAATACCGACTGAAAAATAGACATCTTCAATGCTTACATGACAACGTTTATTTTTTTCTTTGCATTTCTTTCCTGATGTCAGATGAACAGTAAATAACACCTCACAGAGGTAGAAGAGGAAGTCTGTGGACAGGGAGGGAAGGAGAAAAGCAATGTGTAATGTAGGCATTCATTGCGTGCAGTCTACGAAGAGAGCTTTAACCTACAAGACAAAGTGGAAGAGGGGAAGGGGGAGCTGAAGATGAAATTATATAGCGAATGACATCAAATATTGAAGGTACTATACATTGCGGCAAGCCCAACAAAGCTTATCTAACCACTGGCCAGAACGCAAACAAAATTATCAAGCACTTCAAATTGTAATAACCCTTCAATAATCTACCAAACAAAACCATCGCCAGTAGAGGGAATTAGTAGAAAACTGTCCTATAAACCAGATGACAGTCATACAGAGGCGCTACACTGGCAACACAACCAGACGACAGTCATACAGAGGCGCTACACTGGCAACACAACCAGACGACAGTCATACAGAGGCGCTTCACTGGCAACACAACCAGACGACAGTCATACAGAGATGCTACACTGGCAACACAACCAGACGACAGTCATACAGAGGCGCTACACTGGCAACACAACCAGACGACAGTCATACAGAGGCGCTACACTGGCAACACAACCAGACGACAGTCATACAGAGGCGCTACACTGGCAACACAACCAGACGACAGTCATACAGAGGCGCTACACTGGCAACACAACCAGACGACAGTCATACAGAGGCGCTACACTGGCAACACAACCAGACGACAGTCATACAGAGGCGCTACACTGGCAACACAACCAGACGACAGTCATACAGAGGCGCTACACTGGCAACACAACCAGACGACAGTCATACAGAGGCGCTACACTGGCAACACAACCAGACGACAGTCATACAGAGGCGCTACACTGGCAACACAACCAGACGACAGTCATACAGAGGCGCTACACTGGCAACACAACCAGACGACAGTCATACAGAGGCGCTACACTGGCAACACAACCAGACGACAGTCATACAGAGGCGCTACACTGGCAACACAACCAGACGACAGTCATACAGAGGCGCTACACTGGCAACACAACCAGACGACAGTCATACAGAGGCGCTACACTGACAACACAACCGAATGTTAAAGATAACCTATAACCTATAAAATATTAACCCATAACCTATAAGTTAAAGAATAAACAAGATAGGAATAGCATGTGCTATTGGAAAAAAAAAAATGTTAAAAAGGCAAAAATCATGATACACAGGAAAGAAACAGTTATTAAAATGGAAAATAATGAAATGGTCAAAATCCATACAAATAAAAGATATTTAAGAAATGAAATATGGTGGTGTAGCTCCAACACAAAACACTAAATCAGCCATTCAAATTGTATACATGGACATGCTTCTCAGTCTACTGAATGGGGTTAAAGCATGAATTACAATAAAACAACTATTTTAAACAAATTAAATGCTGTGAAATATAGTAAGACTCCCAATTCCTTCTCTCTTTTTTTTTTAACATGAAGGATGCATTCCTTGAAATGTCATCAAACTGATTTGTGCTATAACTTGTTAAGGATCTTAAGGAAATTATTTTAAACTAACATTCAAGGGAATTACAAGGAAGTTCAAAAGGGGGGGGGGGGACTATGAACCAACCAGCCAGATTTGAGTTGATATTCACTCTTGAGTCAGATATATGGAAATTGAGTCAGATATATGGAAAATGAGATTTAAAGCCCCTTATGAGATGAGCAAGTTCTGTGTACTGAATTAGCATTTTTAGTATACAGCCGAAGTAGGAATGACTGGTTCAGTAAAAAGGATCAGATGGTGCAAAGCTGTCAGACTGAAGGGTAAATTAGGAGGCAGTAAGAGTATGTCTATCAGAAGTACATGTACCATTTGACACACAACTCAGAGGAAGGACCATACAAGACATGATGGAATTCCTCGCTCAGAAATGTTGGGAAGCAGTTGACAAGTTTGTTTCTGCCAAAAGGGAGGACAGCGTAAAACACAGAATTAACCAAAGTTGCAAGGATGCAAAAAATACATAGGCACTAGCACATGGATCCTTGCTAGAGATACCCATTAAATAACAGATTGACGTTACAAACAAATACTATTCCAAGCTTCTCAAACAATATATATATATAATTAAAAGGCTATAAGCAAGAAATGCAAGGCAGTTTCATAAACGACATTCCCAAGGTGAAGTTGCATTAAAGGACACACCAATGAGGCAGATGTTTACTGGTGTTTCTGCAAGTTATTTACATGACTGGTGGTAGATTACGAAACAAAATGCAATAGAAAATGTTGTGATTTAACCTTAATATGCAAAAAATGTGAACTCTACTGTCCACCTCAAACCAGTGTACATACAAGGAAAAGTAACTCACCTCAATACAATGGTTGCATACGGAACAATGTGAGCAACGAGGGGGCCGATAAAAATGACATGTTACACACCACTTCATACGGACAGTGATGCCATTTATTTCAACATTCTTATATAGCGGAGCTCTAAAGTCATCATCCCGGTCTTCGTCTGTTGAGGCTGAAATATTGAAGAAATATCAGATTAGTTTATTAGTTTAATAACAATCAAAAATTAGTGTATTAGTTTAATAACAATTAAAATTTCCTATCCCTATGCTTATGTTATGTAGCCGTAGCAACTGTAATATAACAACACTTTACATAATAAAATCTTACTAGGACTGGCTGAGCAGTTCAATATGCCAACTAGATAAAACCCACCCCTAACCTGGCCTTACGGGCTCACCATAGCCCGTGCTACATGGACACTTCGTTCCGAGTAGCTAAATCTAAAAACAACAACAAACAACAACCCTAACCTGCTGCATCACTGCAGAACCAGCAAAACCAAACAAAAACAAATAAATAACAAACCAACAATTTCAACAATGACTAAAGTAATGCAATTCATTTAATATTTAAAACCTTTAGAGCACCCACAAGAAAATGAGGAAACTATACCAGAAAACTGTTGTGTTATTTAGCAAAAATCATTCAACTTTCCAGTGATCTAATTAGCTTAATACGTTGACGCAGAAGGGAACGTAAACTGTCTTACGGTAATGTACGGTGTTTGGAAATTTTTGATTCGTGATTTTAGATTGGCTGAATAGTATTCAAATTTGACACATTAAAGAGAAAAATTCTATGCTCTGTAAATAAACAAATTCATGAACTATCTTGTAATCTTGATTTGCACTGGAAACGTTGCTCTTACCTTTTGGTATAACTCCAGGATCCATGAAAGTGGCTAAAGAAAAATTGAGCACCACAAAGAGTGTGACGACACCCTGGTACACAGGTACGTAGATGCCCCATCTCGTGTACAAAGATATACACCTGCAAAGGAGAACAGCGTTAACACATTTATCTACATCTACGAACCCTCAACATGTCAAGAATGAAACCCAAACAAAAGAAAATTGTACTATTACAAACAATACAAAATGTTCAGTTCTTTCATCAAAATTTAATTAACTGGAAATATAAAAAATATTGTACTGAAGTTTAGACTAAACAACTGCCTGAATATCAACATGTTTTACAATGTAAATCTGCAGCAAACTAACAATTATAATTTGTAGTTACTGCAATAATAATTACTGGAGGTTCGCATTTAAAAGTTCTTGTTCAATACTGTTCACTATGCAACTATTTGTTTGGGGAAAGGAAGGGAGGGAGCAGTGGATGCGGGAATGGGGGAATGGTGAGAGAGGGGAGACGATTCTTGCATGAGTCTCGTGCCTCTGGCTTACCCACCTGTGTAATTTGTGTGAACAAAACTTTGTGAAGTGTGAACAAAAAGTATTTATGATGTTTATGTTGGTTTCAATAAGATAATGTCATGTCATGAGTAGACGTTATATTTCATGAGTAGTCCAATTTGATTTATAACTGCACTGTATTTGCCTACTCTCACATAACTGCAAGCTCAGAGAGATTCCTAAGGAAAGGAATTACTTTCACAGCGCACACACTAGTAATATCAACCCAACATTGTTTTATTAAAATCTCCTGCCATACAAGCCTGCTCATATTTTTAGAGAAGATAACCCGCTATTCTGACAAAAGACTTCCAGTAAACATAGTATACATAGACTTCTCTAAGCCATTTGATAAAGTACCATATAAAAGACTGACCATGAAATTACAGGCACATGGAATAAATGGTAAAGTACTAGAATGGATAACATAATGATAAAAACAAAGTATGGGGGGTGTCCTAAATGGAAATGAACCTGACGGGAGAAATGTGGTGATTGGAGTACCACAGGGCTCCATCTTGGGGGCAATGTCTTTTTATCAAATACATAAATAACAAAGATGAGAATATTTAAAACTATGTCATCAAATGAGCAGAAGACACTACTATCTATGGTAAAGTTGGAATCAAAAATGATATTGAGGCCTTATAAAGAGATCTACATGAACTCCAAAATGGTCAGAAGACCGGCAAATACTATTTACTATTGAAAAAATGCAAGACCTTGCATGTAAGGCATAACAATGCACACCACAACTATCAAATCAACAACACTACCTTGCAGATTGATGAAGAAAAGGACTTAGGAATCAGAATGCATCAGTCATTGATGGACCTAGGAATCGGAATGCATCAGTCATTGATGGACCTAGGAATCGGAATGCATCAGTCATTGATGGACCTAGGAATCGGAATGCATCAGTCATTGATGGACCTAGGAATCAGAATGCATCAGTCATTGATGGACCTAGGAATCAGAATGCATCAGTCATTGATGGACCTAGGAATCAGAATGCATCAGTCATTGAAAGTTGCACCACCAGACAACAGTCATATCGTCAAGGTTGCAACAAGGTTGCAGTAGAGAAAAGCCAACTGAACCTTAGGAATACTCAAATGAACTTTTGCACCTCTGAGGAAAACAGTGATTATTCAACTGTACAAATCTTTGGTGCACCTCCATTTTACCTACTGTATCCAAGCATGGAGACCTTATCTTCAGAATACCATATCTGCTTTGGAGATAGTTCAACACACGAGTGACAGAAATCATTCCAAAACTAAGTTGCCTCTCATACCAGGAACAGTTTAAGGGCCACAGGACTAACAACACTGCAAACTAAATATGACTGGGATGATCTCATCAAAAATGTTAAAACACTGAACAAGTTGGAGGTCATTAATTCAGACCAGCTTTTAAAAGGTCAAATGTGACACATACAAGGGGCAACAGCTTCAGGTTCAACAAGCCACAATGAAGAACAGAAGATGTTTTTTTTCACCCATAGGGTTATAAACCCATAGAACGGCCTACCCACTGAAGCCGTAAATGCCGAGACATTACTACAGTTCAAAACTGTAGAGTAAAAAAAACGCAAAGAGCAAAAAAACTACAGTTTTTTTTGCAGTCTCCGTGGTGTAGTGGTAAGACACTCGCCTGGCGTTCCGCGAGCGCTATGTCATGGGTTCGTATCCTGGCCGGGGAGGATTTACTGGGCGCAATTCCTTAACTGTAGCCTCTGTTTAACGCAACAGTAAAATGTGTACTTGGATGAAAAAACGATTCTTCGCGGCAGGGGATCGTATTCCAGGGACCATAGGATTAAGGACTTGCCCGAAACGCTACGCGTACTAGTGGCTGTACAAGAATGTAACAACTCTTGTATATATCTCAAAAAAAAAAAAAGTGCAGTTCTCCAGTTCGTAAAGATCCTCAGGAAAAATGGGGGAATTTTTTTTTTTGACAAGCCGCCAGCTTCCTTCCAGCGTTTTTCCTTGTCAAAAAAATCGGGTATGAATGATGCAGATGAATGAATGGTTTCCTCAGCTCATGGAGGGGTAGGTTGTTTGGGTAGATACACCCCTTATCTGAGCATTAGTTTTACTTTTGTGGAAGATAGTGCCTGTGCAGTTCTACATTTTTTGACAAACCACCATTTTTTGGTGGCATTTTTAGGGGGATTTTTTTGACAAGCCACTAGCTTCCTCCCCAAAGATGCTACTAAATAGAAGATGAGCCTTGGGTAAATCAGGTATCGTAATAAGGTTTCAATAGAATAACCAAGTTCATAATTTGAATTTCTTATAGTATATCCAAAAGATCCTGACATTACAGTTCCTACATTATACATTATTATTTTACATCTTCTGCACATTGCTATAGCTCTAATTCTTTACTTTATACTGCAAATAAAAAACTTGCCACTATGACAGAATAAAGGTTTATATTTTTAAATTACCTTAATAACTAAAACAGTTTTCATAACTTCCTACTTCATGTCAAGGCTCTACCCATGATCAGGGCCAATTGTTGATGAGAGTTGCAAATACAGTACTAAAGAATACATAAATATTACATAAAAGAATACATAATTCTGCCCGAAATGCTGCGCGTACTAGTGGCTTTACAAGATTGTAATTACTGTATTACGTATCTTCACAATCCCAATGTACCTTCTTGTATATATATATATAAATAAATAAATAAATAAAACAGCATGACAAAACTTTAATTTCCCTGTAGACCTAGCGTGACTGCTACTTCAGAAATGTTTGAAAACAAATCATTTCACTACTGATCAGATATCAATCACAGAATATTATCTTCAAGCTAGCAACAATTGTGTGTATAAAATCTGGTCTGTCATTAGAATACCTGAACCGATCATGTGCCTCTGTAACTCTTTCCACCACCACCCACGGGATGGATATGGGGTGCATAATAAAGAAAGAAATTGAGAAATTGAATTGTCGTTAGAATGTTTATGTAAACAAAATAAAGTAATGCCTAAGGCCAGCAAAAGATCTTATTACAATAGTAACTAGGAATTAGGTGCTTGTTTGGCAAAGCTCATACAAGTTGTACATAAAATGGACATTAACATTTTGTATACAAGTATTTTATACAAATACTGAACACATTTCATGCTAGATAATCATTTTGTACACCAACATTAAACATTTTGCTTAACATATACCCAACATATATCGTAGGTTCGGTTAGAGCAAGTTTAGCAATCCACACATGAACCATGACCTACTGAAACACGTCAAGCTTTACTTCACTAGGTCTACTGGCATTAAACTAACACTATAAACATAACATACTTAATACTGTAATAACAAACCTCACAGCCTATGAGGCACCTGACAGTTTCAAATTACAGTATTGTAATTTCAAAATACTATGCTGAAAATATGACCATTACAATCAGACAAAATACAGTACTGTAGCTTTAAAAACTACCTGAATCGAGCATGTATGCCATAAAATGACTTATTATAGTTTCTGAGGTTATAATCCCGAGGTAAATCTTTTAGCCACTACCGTGTTATTCAGGTACAGAAAAACTTATTCCCTGTAACGGATACATCACATTACCTTACCTAACCTTTCCTGATCGAGTACACATTCAATGTACAGGACATGGATGTTTGTTTTGAATAAGGCAAGGCAACACTATTGATTTTTCATGCCATTTCCTAAGAACAGTACTGATATACACACTATCAGAAACTGGCTACTCCATATCAAGAGGAGGGCATCAGAAATTTAGCTCTTTAAATTTTTAAATTTTGCCCCGAGGGGTGAGTTTATTGGGCAGCGTCACTCATCCTGTGAGTGGACACACCGCCATAGTGACAGTATTGGGCAGCGCCACTCATCCTGTGAGTGGACACACCGCCATAGTGACAGTATTGGGCAGCGCCACTCATCCTGTGAGTGGACACACCGCCATAGTGACAGTATTGGGCAGCGCCACTCATCCTGTGAGTGGACACACCACCATAGTGACAGTATTGGGCAGCGCCACTCATCCTGTGAGTGGACACACCGCCATAGTGACAGTATTGGGCAGCGTCACTCATCCTGTGAGTGGACACACCGCCATAGTGACAGTATTGGGCAGCGCCACTCATCCTGTGAGTGGACACACCGCCATAGTGACAGTATTGGGCAGCGCCACTCATCCTGTGAGTGGACACACCGCCATAGTGACAGTATTGGGCAGCGTCACTCATCCTGTGAGTGGACACACCGCCATAGTGACAGTATTGGGCAGCGTCACTCATCCTGTGAGTGGACACACCGCCATAGTGACAGTATTGGGCAGCGTCACTCATCCTGTGAGTGGACACACCGCCATAGTGACAGTATTGGGCAGCGCCACTCATCCTGTGAGTGGACACACCGCCATAGCAGCATGTACAACACTCCCCAATAGGAAGAAAACCCGCTGGGTTGTTCATCCTGTCACTTGTACCCAGACAAATTTAGCTCTCTTGACAGCTCCAGCCACTTTCCCCTTGACAGTTCCTTCCTTCTTAACCCAGAATTACCATAGCTGCACAACTAATTTACACAATGCCAAAACTGACAATACTAAAGTAGCGAAATCAGTTCTACACACACACACAATCTTCCACAAAAGTGAAACTAATGCCCAGATAATGGGTGTATCTACACAACCCTCCCCCCCGTCCATAAGCAGAGGAAACCATTCATTCAGCTGTATCATTCATACCAGATTTTAATAAATACATCCTAAGGAAGGCTTAAGAGTGCCTCCTTGAGGGTGTTGTTGACAGGTTAAGAGCAGAGTAGATATGGCTTCTCGACACCATCTGACAAGTTACCTCTCCCAGACTACCATTTTCTCACGTTTATAACGCAAGATTTGTATCCTATCAAAGATAAGTTATGTGTCTTGCTTTTTCTTAAGCTTTAACTGCCAAATTTCTCTTCCAACGGTGCCATATATAGAGGTTATTGTGATAACTAACCGCCTGTTTACTCTCGGTTCAACATCCACAAGTCGGATTCCCGGTCATTTCAGCGCATTTCTCGGCGTAAATACTTACGGATAGACGAAAAATAGTGTAGTACATGCTAGAAGTAGCGTCCAAGCACACGTGGCTGGTATGAAACGTGTCTTGGGCTTACAACTTGGCATTTTATCTTATATTTGTCAAACTCCCCATCTCAGCAATCAAAACATGGCCGCACCTCAGTCAGACAGTATAGACGACTGACGACTACGTCCAGAGCTGGAGCAGAAAAACAAGTAAGAGTCGTATTTGGTAATCAATCTTCTATAATTTGATATAGAGTTCATTTTAAGCTACTGGATAACTCTAAATAGATTGCAAAATCTTTCACTAACTCCCGTCGCTAAATTTTGGATGCGTTTATATATGGATAATTGACAAACAGCTTTTACTTGTTGTTCTTCTTCCTATCTTATGCTTATCAATTATGTACCCTTTGGGTGATGCTAAAAATTGAGATAAATCCCTCAAAAGTCATACAAATGGCCCAAAACTGTAAACCTTTTCAAGTTAGGAACACTGAGTGTTCCAAGCAGGGATCACATGTATTTGCATGCATATTCCTTAAATACAGGTGCATGTGGTGGTATTGATTCAATCACTGGTTATCTCTAATGACTCGACCACTTGTTGATAAGGGCCTTCATCGCACACCCTTTTATTTCTACCACTCTCTGTCCTCAACAAGTTGTTCACCATTTGAGCAATGCAGCACATCATTTACTGTTAGAATTGTGCATATAATTCAACATTCATTGTGTCGGGGGGACAGGCAGACATGTTAAGTCATGCTACTAAAGCATGACTCCATCATTAGAACAATGAAGTACCATGAAGTACACCATTAGAGCAATGCGGCACATCATTTACTGTTAGAATTGTGCGTATAATTCAAAAATTCATTGTGTCGGGGGACAGGCAGACATGTTAAATCATGCTACTGAAGAAAGCCTCTTGCTGCGTTGACAGCACTTTAGCATTCCTTCACTTTTAATGTAGTTCCAGAGATATTGATCATCATATGCACATGTTAGCCTTATATCGAGGTCTTCCCAAGGTCAGGTTACTGACCCTTCCTTAGGATGCAACTCCTTAACAACCTAACTAGCTCCTATGTACTTATTTAGGTGAACAGGAGCATTAGGTGATATGAAACGAACCCAATTATTCCTGTCCCGCCCGAGATATAAACCCGGAAATCCCGAGTTTCAGTCTAGAAGGAATGCTACTGTAGATAAGTAGGGCATACATATGATTTGTTTTCTTATTTTTTTATTTTTTATTTTTGCCCCAAGGGGCGAGTTAATTGGGCAGCGCCACTCATCCTGTGAGTGAACACACCGCTATAGCAGCATGTACAATACTCCCCAATAGGAAGAAAACCCGCCGGGTTGTTCATCCTGTCACTTGTACCCAGACACAGCTGGGACTTGCTTATAACTGTCTCAAGTGAACAGCTTATCAAACAAAAAGATTAACATTCGTCAACCCTTAAAATCTTACGTTATCTTGCGGGTGCAAAATGGGGGGAACCTTTTAAGAACAGTATCTATATTTGACAAATAGTGTTTTCCTAACTCAAACAATGGGGGGTTTATTATTCTACACATATTTCTAATGACTCTTAGATGTCCACACTCTCTCAGGTAGTGGTCAAGGCGATGTCCATCACTCTCACCACAGATTCTGCAACTCTGCTGCTCAAAGGTTGTTTCCATTCCGAATCTCCATGGATATTTGTATCCAAGACGAATTCTCGCTATTACTGATATGAATTTGTATTGCCATTCATCGCAGCTGTTTATCGTCTTTCAAAATAGGCTACCACGCACCTTTTGTTACATTATAAATAGGCATGAGAGGTGTATGTGGTGACAGTGCATACAGGATATGACCCAAGATTGAAGTTATCTATACCCTGACGGGTCCAACCACCTGCAGGTGCAAATATTACAATAACATTTAGGAACGCATTTCATGATAAAATCACTAATTAAGATTATGGTTGCTATGAGTTACCTCGAATTGATATAAACATCTCTAGGGTGTATCAATATCTAATCTACCAATAATATTAAGTGCAAAAGATTTGATTCCTATTTTGATTATGTAATTTATAATGTTCTAAGACTTAGTCAAATAGGCTACAAACAAAACACCATTGATTCCATATGGTAAAGTTGCTGTAGAATACGAAATTAACTTCTTTGTCAATTTTTATGCAGGGATATTCCTGCGTGGGCCCTAAGCCTCTGGCTGGCCCACTAAGTGTTGTTTGTTTCTGTTTTACTTGGGCGGAGTATGAGTATTTATGACTCGTATGGTCCCTTCAGTAAGATTTTGCCATATGTGTTTAACAACTTCTTCTGCTCTGTTGAATCTAAGTTGAAATGTGCTACTTGGAATTTTTAGTTCCGAGTAGCTGAATCTAAAACAAGAACAACATCAACAGCTAGAATAATACCTGAATTTGCCTGAAGGCCATTGTCTCTTTAGTGGCCTCGACGTGTATAGGAAGCCTATGGCTTGTCAAAGATTTTCCCATTGTGCCTGATGATTTTTTTCCGACTGGATTTTGAACCGAAGTAATGTTTTGGCCATTACAGCTTTGGTGGGTAGGCGGTTCCACTCATTTAAAACCCTATAGGTATATAAACATCGATCCTCCTTTTTTTATTATTATTTATACAAGAGTTCCTATATTTTCGTAAAGCCACTAGCACGCATAGCCTTTCGAGCAGGTCCTTAGTACTAATTTTCCCTGGAATACGACCCGCAAAATCGTTTAACAACCAGGTACCAATTCATTGCTGGGTGAACAGAGGTTACAGTTAAGGATTGGAACCCAGTCAATCCTCCCCGACCAGGATACGAACCTACACAAAAGGACTTGCGAAGCGCCGGGCGAGTGCTTTGTCACTGAGCCGTCATGTCTGGTGTTGAACTGAAATTTAAATAAGTTTATTGAGGTAAAATACACACAAAGGGATGAGGTAGCTCAAGCTATTCTCACCCCGTTCAGTACATCGTGTTAATACATACATAGACACACATCACAAACAATAAACATATTACCGAACATTCTGAGAGATAAATATATACATTCCTCCTTTATACAAGTATCATGTCTGGTGTGAGCCCATCCTCAGAGCAAATCCATTACCATGAGAAACCACACCCACCTCAAACAACCTGTATAGTTATCGATATTTGTGATGGTTTGAAAGCATATTATGGTTCCGGTAATAGTCTACATGTAACTGGCAAATGAACCTTTGTCCTAAACAGAAATTATGCTGACGTTATAACTTCATTATATTATAATTCGTTAGTTTAAAATATAAAATGTATGCTGAAAACATTTTCCTTGAAGATTTTTTCTATAAACGGAATTCTTGGGTACACTGAAATAGTTTTAAATTCCACATTTCACATTATCATCACTAATGCACTGTATTAACATAACCAATCGTAGTGAAACCTAACCGAATCAAACGTTAACTTAAAGTAACCTTAACCCAACCTGACCATAGAAAGTAGATATTAGCACTATTTATGTAGTCATTCTTAATCCATTCCTGTGAGCGTATTTCCATGAAGTGACTCTTCGCCTTTCCAATGAATGCAATTTAAGCTTTGTTAATCCTTCTTCATATGAAAGATTTCTAATTTGGGGGATTAACTTTGTCGTCCTACGCTGGACGCGTTCTAGTGAATTTATATTCATTCTATAGGTCCATTCATACAGGGCAAGATGAACTACTGGTAACCTTGCCCTGTATGGTTAGGCTACTAACAAAAAACCATCCTGTGAGATGGAAATTTTCAGGATCATTGCTACCTTTCACCATCATGCTCTTGGTGATATTCCCAGTGATCATAGGACTTAGTAATCAAAATTTCTATGATCATAGGACTTTTGATTACTAACCATCCTGTGTAATGGGGATTTTTAGCATCACGTAGGTACTTGATACACTATGTGTGTCCGTTATATAGTCTAGGGTAGCAGCATATACGCAGATGTACGGTGTTAATACAAAAAAAGGCTAATAACAGTATCGTGAATGGACTAACAGTACAGTAACAAGGAACAAATTACAGTTCCGTGGGTGAACTCGGCCAAGTTACAGTTCCGTGGGTGAACTCGACCAAGTTACAGTTCCGTGGGTGAACTCGACCAAGTTACAGTTCCGTGGGTGAACTCGACCAAGTTACAGTTCCGTGGGTGAACTCGACCAAGTTACAGTTCCGTGGGTGAACTCGACCAAGTTACAGTTCCGTGGGTGAACTCGGCCAAGTTACAGTTCCGTGGGTGAACTCGACCAAGTTACAGTTCCGTGGGTGAACTCGACCAAGTTACAGTTCCGTGGGTGAACTCGACCAAGTTACAGTTCCGTGGGTGAACTCGACCAAGTTACAGTTCCGTGGGTGAACTCGACCAAGTTACAGTTCCGTGGGTGAACTCGACCAAGTTACAGTTCCGTGGGTGAATTCGGCTAAGTGACAACTGATGATAAGACTGTCTCGATGTTATTGACCTAAATTAGGGTCCTAGTAGTTCAGCTGGGTTCGTTCTCGACCCAGAATCAAGAATTTTGGGTTCGGCAGGACAGAAATAGTTGGGTGCGTTTCCTTTCACCTAGTGAACCTGTTCACCTAGCAGTAAATATGTACCCAGGAGTTAGTGAGCTTGTTGTAAGGATGTATCCTAAGGTCAGTGGTTCGAAATTGTGGTTCGAATTTTAATCAAGCCTAATATATACACTATTAACAATATATATTACACTGGCTGCCTGTCCCCTGAATTATTAAATCAAATGTGTTATATATATGTGATTGCAACCATAATGGATGATTGATATACGGTAAAAATATCAAATCAAATGTTTATTCAGGTAAAAGTACATACATAGAGGATTAATTACAAACATAATGTTGGATTTATAGACAGAGCTAGTACATGCAATACCTAAAGCCACTAGTACGCATATAGCGTTTCGGGCGCTATGCATAATAATACAAAACATAGATTTTAGACAAACTTTAGAGGAAGTAATTATTATGGAAGACTGAGATTGCGATGCTGGTATCCATGCAGTGTAGCAAGTTTCCCTACAGGATGATAAAAAAAAAATGTCGAGAAAGTTCCACCTCAAAATTGAAGTGGGTACACATCTACAATAAAAAAAAATGCATAACCCGTATATAAATCTAAGCAATGTGTATGCGGTCATTACATTAGGCTCATGAACATGATACTGGCTAACTGTGGTGGTTGGTTACTGTGAGTTGCATCACATACATCAACTGTCTTCAGACACGAAGCTTTAAGGCAACCATTGAATATACTTTGTACCTGCTTACTGCAGGATATCTCTCTTTTTCTTCAGGCTTCCACAGTTCCTTCTAGTGTTTATGACATTGTTATAATGTATTATTTAGTTTGATGTGGTTATTTAATGTAATTAGAGGATGAAAGGAGGTATATAGGCAGGCCTTGGTGGTGTTCTCCATAGCGGGGTTGGAGTTAGCACGGTCCCCGGGAGAGGGCAGCACGTCAGTGTTATGGTTGACAGTGGGAGGTGAACACTGGCGCAAGTGTCATGCAGTATACCTACCACGTGTGACGTGTTGAGCCTCTTAACTTGGTCACATTATCGGCACCATGCCTGAGGAAGAGGCCAGAGCTGATAATCGCGTTAAATGCGGCAGTAGAGAAAGGGTTGTGAGTGTAGGAGGGAAAGCATTGGTGTGTGCGAGTGAATCCCGTGTCTCGGGTAAGGACACCAGGACCGCTGACCCCGATAACTTGCCTCAGCTGGCCGCTCACCAGCTGCCACCTCCCACTACACACACTCAGAAACATAGTAATGAATTAGCGTGTGCACTCCAAGTGCACGCTGCTGAAGTGTGTAGAGTGAATGGTGACTGTAGGTATAAAACAGGTGACCACAGGCCGTACCTTGGATACAACCGTAATTCTCCAGATGTTTCGGCTAATGAAACCTCCGAGAAGAATAATAGAGCGACTTCAAGATACAAATTTTTTCTACCCACTGAGGAAGAGACTGGGTACAGTAGTGGGGGGGAAGGCGAGGAGGCTACCACTGTAACGTCGGCACCTGGGGCATGTGGCATTCCCACTCCTGGGGCATTTAACCCCCCTACCACCACCCTTCTGCCAGCAACGCCCCCAGACACATGTCCAACCGGGAGGCAGCTACAGGGACCTCATCATTTATTCACCATCGTTCCTGTTAATAGTAGTGAGCTGCACTCGGAGCACGGAGGTGAATCCGAGTCTTCGTTCCGTGCTTCACCCACCCCAGCCCACAATACAGACCAGGTCATCTGCCCCTACCTGACCCGAACTGCTGCCTCGCAAGCTGGCGCTCCGCACTCTACCTATAACACCAACTTAAGAGGGGCCGTCATGGGCCGACGGTTGCTTAACCCATACCAGGCCATGGCAGGTGCTAGTACAGGCCTCACATCCTATAACACCTATAGAACTACGGGATCAAGTTTAAGCCCGGCTTCCTATAACCCCTACCAGACTATGACGGGGGCTAGAATGAGCGCAACACACTATAACCCTTTCCAGGTCGTGTCCGGAACGGAAACGGACCCTTACAACCCCTACCACACCATCTCTGGTATGGTGCCATCTTCCTACCAGCGCTCAGAGTACGGTCTACAGCGAGTGCCTACCTATTCTCGCAGAGAATATGGTGTTGGTGGGTCGACGTGTTTTCAGACTCCGCCATATAATGGGGTGAGTGACGTACCACCATCCCTGGCGTCTGTGGTGATGCCTAGGGGACACATGTCCCCAGTGTCCCCTAATAAGAGTCCACTGGGTAAAGAATTAGGCAACCGGCCAGTAACGATAAACAGGGTATCCACCATGCCGGCCTACACTAATCTCAACCACTTGTCGCTGCGGCAGACGTCGAGTCCGCAAGAGAGCTTGGCCCGCCTCCCGCACCTCTCGCCAGAACAGCTTACGTTTCAGTCTATCAATCAGTTGACTGTGCGATCAGCGGGCGGCCTCAGTGTTGACGTAGGCAGCACTGACGGCCGCAACGTGACGGTACACGGAGCAGTCATCTCCCCGGAGCAGCTTCCCTTCATCCCATCAGTCGACAGGTAGCGTCGTCTCTTTCCCTCTCCACTAATCGTAGTCTAATTATTCATTAATTTTTGTTTCGTGGACAGCGGAAAACGTTATTCAAAGTTCTGACCTAAAATTAAAGGAAGGAAGGAAGGGAAGAAAAAACAGCTTAACAGTTACAGACTCGTGTAACTGTTAGTAAACTGTTGGTAATTTTAATGGGTTGAGCAACTGGGCCCCATGCAGTGTTGTTGGCTGCCAACAACACAAGATATGAGTAGTGTTTATACTGTAACTTCAAACAGTGGTCTGCACACAACCCAGGGACCCGGGTTAGAGTCCCGCTGTCGAAAAGAGAAGGTCGGGCATATTTTCTTTCACCTCAAGCCACTGTTCACCTTGGGATCGTATGCAACACACTCCTAAATTTGAACATGATGCTGTTGATTTCGTTATTTATAAAAAAAAAACATTTAAATTGGTTTATTTCTAATAATATTATATTATGGACATGAATTACTGACTTTGTTTGGTTAGGTTAGGAGAGGTTAGGTATATCTTGAGGTTATTGAGATGATTTCGGGGCTTACCGTCCCCGCGGCCCGGTCCTTGACCAGGCCTCGTTTTTGTTACACATGCCCAGGAAGCAGCCCGTAGCAGCTGTCTAACTCTCACTAGATACCTATTTACTGCTAAGTGAACAAGGGCATCAGGATGAAAGAAACTGCCCATTTCCGCCTCCTCCGCGGAGGCGTTAGGTTAGGTAGGTAGGTTAGGTTTGGTCATTTTATACGTAAGTAATTGTAACTCAAAAAAATTATATGATATAGTTCAAAACGTTACTTGGTACAGAAGCGGGGCAAGTAGCACGGGCTATGGTGAGTCCATAGAAGACTTACTTGGTACAGGAGCGGGGCAAGTAGCACGGGCTATGGCGAATCCATAGAGGACTTACTTGGTACAGGAGCGGGGAAAGTAGCACGGGCTATGGTGAGCCCGTAGTGGAAGTTGCAAGTGTTTCTCTCTCCGACTTCGTTATTTCCTCTAAACAACCTCTTGTGTGGGAACCATATCGGACACCTCGGTATAAATTATCGTAATCTTTGTAATTCTCTTCTTAATATTTGAGAGGAAAACAAGTGAATTTCTAAAACATTATTATTCCTTTGTGAATGTATTCTTTGGTGTAAAGAATAATGCGAAAAGCATTTGCACTCATTTCTTAATTTAATTTTACCACAATTGACTTTATTGGGAGGATAGTGTGATGCTAGAAATCTATCCTCTATAAAATCTAGAGCTACATTTATAAACCCTCTGGAGTTGTCAGCATCAACTCTATTTATTATACCAGACCAGGGTTAGTTTCCCCAGCTTATCATTATCATCTGACCTTGACAAGTGGTGCTTCATCAGGGCCTAGGAACATGTGAAGGTTCAGTTTTTACATTTGTTTACCCATTTCTTCCCTAAGAATTAATATTTTTATTCCTTCACTTCCTCTATAAATGTTATCAGATATAGTGGGAGAAGAATGACACTAATCTAATAAAGAGCCAGATAAAAGACTTATCACAATACCACCCATTTCCTCTTCATTATCTGATGAGGTTTTTGAAGTATCAGTTGCTATTAGTAATATTATAAGCTTGATTAAAAATAAAACAGCACACAATTTATTTAAATTATTAGGGGGGATATTTTCACAAATTCGATGTTGTAAACTTCATTTACAGCTAATATTAAGGTCAGTGAAAACATCAGAAGATCGGTATTAAGTCCAAGGCAAAATCAATGCAGCCGCATGCATTTTTTCAGGAATATTGACATTTAGAAATTATAGATAAATCTTATGTCAGCTGATTAGAGCAAAATAGCCTACTTATTAAGTGTTGGTGTTAAGTAGGCTTTACAGGCAGTAATTGTAATTACACGACTTGATAATGATCAAGGAAGGACCTAAGCGTCGTTAATTCATCTTCTGATTTGTAGATTGGGTGTCTAATCTTCAACCACGTTATCGTGACTCATCGTCTGCATCAGTGTTTGGGAGAGGGAGCGCTCCTTGACCAGAGTCTGGCTTTAGGCATTGTACTTCGCTTCAAATCATAGCTTGAGGGAGGTATAGTAATTTGGAAGAGTTTTCCAAATAATAAAAAAAGGGATGACACCTTAGTGGCTCCTTTTTTTTTGGCCCCGGAAAATGGACACCTTAGCGGTCCTCTTTTTTTAGGGGGGGGGGGAGGGTTCGCTAATGTCTTAAAGGTTTCTTATGGGAAAATTCAAGGCGAAAGGGTCCGCTCAGGTCTTAAAGGTTTCTTATGAGGAAAATAATTTCTGAGATCTTAGATAAACAGATATTTTAGACTATACTTTTAAGTAGAATCTTAACTTTCAAACGAGTATATTTCTATATAACTGAAAAATTACGCTGCTACATCAGACACTATTAATTAATAACTGGCCTACCCCTCCCCCCCCCCCCTGTGCCACCTTACCTCACACTACGAGGTAAATTTACTCCTTTGAAGCCATTACGGGCTCACCATAGCCCGTGCTACATGGACACTTGGTTCTGAGTAGCTAACGAAGTAGTAGCATGAAGCCATATATTTGGCGGAGACACGTCTGACGTTATCAACAGCGACATTTTTTCATTTTATAATTTTGAAAGGGATGTACCGCACTGTGTATGAATACGCACGTCTTCATTCTCCATGCGGCACGGGTCTTCATTCTCCATGCGGCACGGGTCTTCATTCACCATGCGGCACGGGTCTTCATTCACCATGCGGCACGGGTCTTCATTCACCATGCGGCACGGGTCTTCATTCACCATGCGGCACGGGTCTTCATTCACCATGCGGCACGGGTCTTCATTCACCATGCGGCACGGGTCTTCATTCACCATGCGGCACGGGTCTTCATTCTCCATGCGGCACGGGTCTTCATTCACCATGCGGCACGGGTCTTCATTCACCATGCGGCACGGGTCTTCATTCTCCATGCGGCACGGGTCTTCATTCACCATGCGGCACGGGACTTCATTCTCCATGCGGCACGGGTCTTCATTCTCCATGCGGCACGTGTCTTCATTTTCCATGCGGCACGTGTCTTCATTCACCATGCGGCACGTGCTTCATTCACCATGCGGCACGTGCTTCATTCACCATGCGGCACGTGCTTCATTCACCATGCGGCACGTGCTTCATTCACCATGCGGCACGGGTCTTCATTCACCATGCGGCACGGGTCTTCATTCACCATGCGGCACGTGCTTCATTCACCATGCGGCACGTGCTTCATTCACCATGCGGCACGGGTCTTCATTCACCATGCGGCACGTGCTTCATTCACCATGCGGCACGGGTCTTCATTCATCATGCTGCACGGGTCTTCATTCATCATGCGGCACGGGTCTTCATTCATCATGCGGCACGGGTCTTCATTCATCATGCGGCACGTGCTTCATTCCCCATGTGGCACGTGTTCACGATATATTTTCGTGAATAAATCCCCCCCCCCCCGCTACAGCTGTTGGGTCAGACCCTTGAATGACGTAAAAATGCAACAGTTTAGCCTAACCAGAAACGTACGCACCCAAACAGCCTACCTAACCTGTCGAGTCCAATGCATAGAAAACGTGAGATATTTGTGAGCCGTTTGTTAATAGGCTGCTTTTGTAACGTTGGTTACGAGAACGTTACGAGAACGTTACGAGAACGTTATGATAACGTTATGATAACGTTACGAGAACGTTACGATAACGTTACGATAACGTAGAAGAGAAAAGCGCCCTCCTGTATTTGTTCAACTGTTACCCAACACAAACAATACTTTTTAATATATTAATGTGACCTGCGCAGGATGATGCAAGGCGAGTCGTTGGGAATAACAAACAGGGGTGATGTGTAGTCATTATGTGTAATTACGACGGGTGATTGTTGCTCAACTAGGCTTTGCAATATATCGTAATGCTTCCTTTAACACTACGAGGCCAGAGAGCGCTACGCTAACTACATATTACTGTGTATCTGTGTATTTACGTAGGTAGGTTAGCTTGGCATTTTTAAAAGCACCGAATCACCTTCTGTGGTTGTTCAATAAATCGCTGAGCTATATGTTTAACACATCTCTAACCCTGTCCATGGAGGACAGAAGCAAATGTATATATGCTGGTTAGCATTGTAAATGTGTGGCTACGTCTGTGGTAGAAAATAATAATAATAAACTACATATTACAGTAGATTCGTATTCTCTTGTCACAACTGTAGAGGTCAAAATGGTTTCACGTTACTTAGAGCAAGAGATATACGGCTGCCTTTCAAATGTTTGTCACAGTATAGGATATATAGAGGGGAACGTCAGTCGAAGTTTGCAATAGAGAACTTTAAAAGTTTCTTTGAGCGTTACCGGATCAACCTGGTTGTGATGGCTTTGTAGGCTATAAGCATGAACAAGACTGGCCTTAGACCAAGCAAGGATAGAAGAGCTATCGAAATTATCTACAGGTAAACCTCACGTAAATATGCGGGTTATCTTGAGGTTATCTTGAGATGATTTCGGGGCTTTTAGTGTCCCCGCGGCCCGGTCCTCGACCATGCCTCCACCCCCAGGAAGCAGCCCGTGACAGCTGACTAACACCCAGGTACCTATTTTACTGCTAGGTAACAGGGGCATAAGGTGTAAGAAACTCTGCCCATTGTTTCTCGCCAGCGCCTGGGATTAAACCCAGGACCAAAAGTCCAGTGCGCTGTCCGCTCGGCCGACCGGCTCACTGTGGTGGGCTTGGCTACAAGAAATGCCACGCACTGTGGAAAGGGGTTTCATTCTGAAATAATTGGGCGGCTGCTGAATTAACGAGAATTGTAATCAATGTTAATGGGGTGAATGAGTACAGCCTAAGGTTCAACACTCATCATGGGGGTTCATGGTGATTGTTGAGTTCATGATGAGTAGATGACTTTAGGTGCGTTGGGGTTTTGTGTAGACTTGGGTTAGTGAAGAGCGTACTTGCCAAGTTGTGCTTGCGGGG